AGAATTGATATAGGTAAAGCCAGGAGAGTAGATGACATTCTTAAAGAGGATAGTTTATGTAGAGAATGTGATGCATGAGAAAACTCTTAGGTGGTGGCAGGAAGAAGAGTGGTTGGGAAGAGAATTGCAAACGGAATGATGGGTGAGGCAGGAGACACTGGATATGTGGTGTCATGGATGCCAAGGGAGGAGACAGAGTCAGGAAGAATGAAGTGTGATTAATAACCCATTACAGCTGGTATTGAAGGTCCTAATATTTTTTTTTGTAATTATTAATTTATAATCCCAGAGTAATGAGATTATATTTTAGTGGATTCCGGGTTACTAGTCTTGGTTTTCCTCTAACTTCACTCCCCTCCTCATCTTCTGAACCTCTAAACTTTGGAGTCTCCGAAGGATCTGTCCTTGAACCTCTTATTTACACTCACTCCCTTGGGTGATCTGTATTCCCAAGGCTTTAAATACCATCTATATGCTGATAACCTTCCCTTCCTTTCTTTCTTTCTCTCTGTCTCTTTTTCTTTCTTTCAACTTTCACATTTTAATTTGAATTCCAGGCTTGTGTATTTAATTGCCTATTTGATATTTTCACTTGACTGTCTACTACATAATTCATTCCCTATCCTTATAAGGGTTTCCCGATTTAGTAAATAGCAGCACCTCCATTCTTCCAGTTGCTTAGGCCAAAATTCTCCTTGACTTAAACAGGAACAGTTTATCCCCAGTAACCTAAGAAAAGGTCTGTAGATATGGATGTAGACAGACTTAGAAAGTTAAAATATATGGAAGTTCTTTATCTGTTGAGTGAAGTAAGAAGTAAGGTCATCAACTTCTCTTTACCCTTCTCTCACACATCATTCTAATGTAGAAATAAAGCCTGTCGCCTCTTCCTTTTTAATATCTCCAGAGTCAACCATTTCTTACAACTTCCGTTGCTACCACCCTGGTACAAGGCATACTCATTTATCATTAAGGAAATAATCTCTTGATATATCTCCTTGCTTCTTCTCTTGCTCTGTACCCCTATAATGTTCTCCATTCAGCAAACAGACTGACTATTTTCAATGTAAATTAGGTATCACCACTCTGCTCAGAAACCTTTTGCTTTCCATGTCACCTAAAAGTTGTCATTATTAATGGCCTATTTGATATGGCCCTCAGCTACCTTTCTGTCCTCATCTGATATTACTTTCCTCTTGTTCACTCCTTCTTTCCTTCCTCTCCTTCCTTCCTTCCTTCATTTTTTTTTTTTTAAATTTACAATAACCTCTTTGCCATAGGCTTTGACTTGCCCTTCAGTCATCTTGAAATACTCATCCCCTATGTATTCCACATGACAAACTCCCTCACATCCTCAGGTCTTGGCTCAAATTTACTTTTATCAGGAGACGTCCCTAAATAAAAGAGCACCCCCCCTCCATTCTAACATTCTTTCCTCCTTTCTTCAGATTTATTACCATTTTATAAGTCAGCAAAGCCAGAGCTTGGCCTATAATAGGTACTCTGTGTGTTTGAATGAATGTTCAAGATCTTAAAATTTTAATACAGCTAGTAAAATTCATTTGTGTTATTGAGAATGAGATAAGATTATGGATGGAATGTGGCACCAAAAAAACATAATATGCTCTTTATATTTCTATATTGAACATTTATGGTTTCATTTTTCTAGCAACCTGGATAATAGGTCTGGGACAGGCCTGTTGAAATGTATAATTTCTCTGCGGCATGAATTTTAAAGTATTTCTGTTTCCAGTTTGGTATGGGAATGAATTACTTAGCTAGTGAGACTAGCCTAACAACTAGGACCTGTATCTTAATGATGCTTTAACCTCTATTCATTAAATGGGGAAATTATGTGCTGATGTATTATTTGAGTATGTTTGGAACTTTAAATTATTTTAGATGTTTTGGAACTGTAGATTTTTAGGGTACATTGAAAAAGGCATACCTTTAAAAAAAAAACATCTCATATAAGGCTGACTCAGGGTGTTAACTTTTAAATCTTTGAATCATGCAGGGAATAAACAATAAACAAGTAAATGAAAAGGTAAATCAGTAGAGGGACAAAAGAGAAGTAATTTGTCAATAAGATACATACCTGCATGTAAATCCATGTTTCTGAGGGACTATGTAAGGTATGCTGGGATGAAGATGAAAAGAGAAAAGACAATGATTCTGTTATTATTGAATGAACGAATGAATGAATGTTTTGACACTGAGTCAGTTGAAGGAGATGGATTATTTTTCTTATAACTAGACCCTCTATCTTTATGTATTCTGATTTTTGTGAAGAACATCTCTTAAGCAATAAATCCAATGACCTCTATTCCAAATGTATTAATGTATTTTCCTTTGTTATCCCCATTTCACTTCCTAAAACTGTTTTTTGTTTTATTTTGTTTGTTGTTTTCTCAGAAGTGATTCCCCTGTACTTGCCTTTCTGACTGCTCCTTTAGTACCCTATCAATCCTTACTCTTTCATTCATCTCATTCACTGCCAAGTCTTGTTTGTCTTCTCTGTGAAGATAAGTCCCAACTTCACTTCCACTCTAGATCCCTATTTTCAGCTGACTGCTAAACATCTCTATTGATATATCATCAGTATTCCCTTTCCTAACTTACTATTCTTGTGTTGATTATTTTGCTTATTGGTATTAACCATCCTTGCATTTAGGCTTGTTCATTCTTCCATCAAAAATTTACTATGTGTCTTCCTTTCATTCTACCAGATCCTGGACAAACAGGAATGTATGAATGAGATAGGATTTCCTCTCCTCAAGGAGGTCACAGTGATTAGAGAGGTAGACATGTGAATAAATGAGAATTTTATGATCAGTGCATCAATGAAGTATATATATAATTCTGTTGGAAATCACGTGCTCAAATCCATGAAACAGTCATTATATTCTGATAGTTTTTTCCCAACAAAATTTTTTCTTTCAGAACCATCTAAAAATAGCTGTCTTGACAAGTGGAGGTTTCCTGACATTATTAGGTATTCTAGTAGATCCTGTTAGAAATTTCATAGAATTGGGGTGCCTGGGTAGCTCAGTTATTAAGTGTCTGCCTTCGGCTCAGGTCCTGATCCCAGGGTCCTGGGATCAAGCCCCGCAATGGGCTCCCTGCTCGGCGGGAAGCCTGCTTCTCCCTCTCCCACTCCCTCTGCTTGTGTTCCCTCTCTTGCTGTGTCTCTCTCCATCAAATAAATAAGTAAAATCTTAAAAAAAAGAAAGAAAGAAAGGATTTTCATAGAATAGATTCCTGCAGTGGGTAGAAAATTGGATCAGACAACTTTTCAGTTGAGCTCGTGATTCTATGTAATTCCAGAGGTCCAGAAAGCTAGGCAAAGGTCAGAATGCCTGACAAAGTTTTCAGTCAGAAGCTTATCCAAAGCCTAAATAATTATGAAATATTCCTATGGTGGTAATTTTCTTCAAGAGGTATTGTAGGAAGTTTTATGTTAATCATAAACTTACATGTGTACCTGCATCCAAGGCTTTTGAAAAGTTGCCCATTTACAGAAAACCAACACTAGATATTTATCACAGCAGATAATTATTGAGCTCTCTCTATATCCTAGGCACTTGGGGTATAATGATGAATGAGGAGCACATGGTGAAGCAGGGGCGCAGACGTGTCAATAATGCATCATTTAATATGGTTTAATAAATGTGATCATGGAGTACCTCTGCCTAGGGGAATGAGTCTTGGAGACATTAGACCTGAGTTATGAATAATCAATTTTCTTGGGAGAAAAGACATTGCAAGCAGAGGGAGTAGCATCCACAAGGACACTGTCCTGAAAGGCACACTGCGTTCACTGAATGGAGTGGCTGAATTACAGATTGGGTGGGTGGAATATGGGAGATGAGGTCAGAGGGACCACATTAGGAAGGACCCTCTATGTTATAATAAGGGTTGTGATCTTTTTCCTTTATAGAACAAATGTTTATTGTTGTAAAGCTCATGGGAGTGACTTTGCACTGTTAATAGAAACTTTAAAACCAAGACTAACTCATGTCGCTGTAATAGTACTTTGAAGAATATATGTCTTAAAAGTTAAGATTGGTATTCACTTTATGTCCACTTCAAGTTCCAGTACCAGTTTAAGTTCGTTTCCAGTTTACAATAAGGTATATTATATCTCTGGATAGATAAAATAAAGACTAAACCAAGTCTACCTGCATTTAATTGAATTTCATTTTGTAAAGCATCCTATGAAATTGGTCCCGAGTTTTGCCTATTACTACCTTGGATTTTAAACTGAACTTTTACTAAAAAAACAAACAAAAAACTTTACTTTGGTCTCAAAAGAATGCCATTTTCCATTTATATTTTCAAATATTTAAAAGTTGAGATCTTTTTTTTTTTAAGATTTTATTTATTTATTTGACAGAGAGAGACAAAGTGAGAGAGGGAACACAAGGAGGGGGAGTGGGAGAGGGAGAAGCAGGCTTCCCGCGGAGCAGGGAGCCCGATGTAGGGCTTGATCCCAGGACCCTGGGATCATGACCTGAGCTGAAGGCAGATGCTTAACGACGTAGCTACCCAGGCGCCCCTTAAGTTGAGATCTTTTATTATTCAGTGTATTGCAGGCAAAAGACATATTAAGGGGAAATACATTTAAAACATCTTTTGCTTTGGGAGACAATACAGTGCAGTGGAGGAAAGTATGGGCTCTAGAGTCAAACATACCTAGATTTGAATCTTGTCTTCCACTTAAAGTTGTGGGACTTTAAGCAAGTTACTTAAACTCTCTAGCCCTCAGTTACCTCGTATATAAAAAAATGAGGATAATACTAATACTTCATACGATGGTTATAAGAACGAAATGAGATGCATGTAAAACACTTGGCTTGAATACCTAGAATGTAGTATTTGTTAGCCATATTACTGGAACATTTTTTCCCAAGTCATAATTGGTTTTATAAGAGAAGAAATAGAAGTTGTTTTGCTTTTAATCTGATTGTCTCTTTTTCATTTTTTCTTCATCTATTTAGTGTCTTTTTCCTTGGAGCCATCCTTGTAATAACAGCTACTTTCTTATATGGTTATGATCCCAAACCTACAGGCAATCCTACTAAAGCATAGTCGTATACTATCTTTAACTGGTTTTTCACAATGGTGCACTAGGAATGTCAACATTAATCTTGCATAGAGGACTTCTACAGATTCTAAGAAGACATCATCATGCTGAATCTCATCATATTGTTCAAATGGTTTGAAAATATAAAAGTTTAAGGATAAAAAATATGTGTATATGTTAACAAAATACCAATTGCATCTAGAAATCAAAGCTTGGAATTATTTCCAGGGATTAGATTAATTATTGGAGAAAACTTGAAATCTGGGTTTAAAAAGATTTGGCCTTTTGATTGCTGCAGAAATGTCCTATGCACTCTTTGCAAGAGCACACAACAAATGTCAGATACCAATTTTTGCAAATTATCTATTTAATCTTATTAAATGTTTTTTATCTTTTTCTGTACAGAAATATCAAATCACATGGAATATTCAGAGTTTGAAAATTATAATTATAATTGCCTATAAAGCTGTGAAGAAATAGAAGTATGATTTGAAAAACATTTTCATGTATCTGAGATTTTTATATTTATACAAAAGATAACTAAAGAAAGGATTGCTAAATGTCATTTGTTCAAGTACATAAAAATCGATAAAGTTACATCCTGGGTCTAATTTGTGAGAGAATAAAATTCGTATTTAAATTTAGTGTAGGGAAATACACACATCTATTTCTCCATCTACATTTTAAGATCTTTTAGTGCTTTGAAACTGCTGAAAGCAATCCAGTTGCTCCTGGGCTAGATAGTAGCCAGAGACTATTGCACTAATGGAGTTTTGTCCTTAATCTTCTAATTGTATTTCTTTTCTGTAAATCAGATAAATCCTTAATATTTCTTTAAATTAAACTTCTATATGTGGTAGTTTCCATTAAAATTTCAAAATGAATTTAAAAGGATTAAATAGTCATTTAATAATTTAAAATAATTATTATTGTCTAATATCTCCACTTGGAGAATTTTGAACTATCAAAGCATATTCTGTACACAACTAAAATGTTTTTAAGTGAACATTTTGGTCATTGATCTGTAAAAACTTCCTTTAATCTACAACTGTTAAAAACAACAACCAAAATAATAACTAATTGAGACCAAAATGACCTTTCTTAGAGACATTCCAGATTGCCATGATATTATATTATTTTAAATGGCACTGTAGCTGTAAACTCAAGGCTGCTCAGAACTTTTTGGCCTCTCATAAACCCACCATCCCAGGAATACTCTGGTCACATGTCTGGGAGAGGTAGCGAATTCTGAGCTCCCTTTCTGTGGGCCTGTAAAAGCTGCTGGGAAGGAGCCACCACTTAGATTTAAGATAGTGGTTTCTTTTCCATTTTGATTAGCACTGGAGTTGAGGTTGTAAATTACATGAGTTATTTAATAAATTGGCTCAAAGGGGAGAGAAAATATAGCAAAAATGGTAAAGTGAATTGTTGGGCAAGAATACTTTCTAAAATTGGAGTATGGATTTAATTTAATTATTGACTATAGATAGAATTACCTATTATGTATGAGAAGTATTTTACTTTATTTTTTCATTCATGCTTTATATATTTTTAAAAGTCTCCCATTCTAACAGTATAAAAACTGTAAAAAAAATAAATATTTTTATAGAGTCATAATGGATTTTGTTAAATAGAATTTGGCTCAAAAATTCTGTGTTACAAACTTTTGGGTACTTTTGGCTTATTAGGACTGGCTGTGTTCCTTTACTTATGCAAACCATGTCTCTCTAGGACACAGGCCTAATCTGTTCCATTCTGAGTTTAAAAGTGATTAAAATTACAAAATATCTTAAATCAGTTTGCTGGTGATTCCAAATTGGAACTAACTAAACATTCTGGAAGCCTGATTGATTTAGCCCTATGATTTTCAGTGACCATCTTTTAGAGTATTTGTTTAATAACTTTACCACATTCTGAGCGTGGTGTTTTTAGATTGTAACAGCATTCAGACATCTTATTATCTACTGCTGAGTGAAATCTAAGTCCTACAAATGCAAAGAATTCAAGAGTACATATAAAGATTTATGTTCAGCCCACACGGAAGTACTAGTTAGGTACTAGTATATATTAAATCAGTGTACATTTACAACTAATTGTTATTTCGGGCTGAGTGTCCCTTCAAAAAATGATGAAAGCAAATATTGGATATCAGACATGTTAGTTACTATAATATATTTTCCGGTGTCCAAAATAACACAATTTTAAGGTTCCCACTAAAGTCTATAAAAATATAATCAAGAGTTGTGAGAAAGGACAAAGTAGTCTAAAGCATATTTTCAAACCAAACTTTTATTAGACAAGCTTAATTTATATTTTGCTTTTCTAGTAGGCTTAAAGATGTTATTAGAGATTGGGTTGTGTAGCTTATAATTTTTAATTCATAGAGAAGGAATCGTATTTGAGAAGGGGGGCCTGTATCCTAGATCATGTCATTTATACAGATAATGCCATTTTCATATGTCTGTGTGGTGTGTGTTTTGATGACCTCCAAAAGCCTTATTGTATCAATCTTATATAATGATGATTTCTTGATTATTTAAATTCTTACTTTTTAAAGTTTACTTGTTATCTCTCAACTACTTTGTTCATTATAAAATGCCCTAATTCATGGGAGAAAAGTGCCAGTTGATAGTTCTATTAAAAAATAAATAAAAAATAAAAATAAAAAATAAATAAGAATATGGTATTTGGGAAGAAAAGTTTGAAATTCAATATGTCGATGTTTCAACACAGTAATATCACCAGTTCTTTAGCAAGTGTTTTTAGGGAAGTTGTAGGCTACTTTTATGGCAGAAACTGTAGCTTAGAGATGCAAAACTTAAATGTTTACATCAATTTATATTGAATGTCACAATTTCATAGAAGGAAAGGTAGTTTAATATTAAAACTAGATTCTAAGGAGACAGAATCTGAAAAGAAAGTAATTGACTTTGTGCCCAGTAGACTTAGAGTAATATTGATTATTCTTAAGAATTGATACACTTTTCCTACATATCAAGTTATTGGACTTTTAAAATGTCATTGTATAGTCATTCAACTGAGTTTTGTTTTTAAAAATAGGGTTTAGCATCACTTATTTTATTTACACTTTCATTGTTATAATATTTAATTACATGTGGATGTATGCTTTACGTAAGAAAAGGTTTATAAATTATTTATGCTATATTGAAAGTCATCTTAAGAATCTCCCAGATATGTAGCATATTTAAAGTAATTACAGGACCAAAGAAAAAGCACCTTTATCAAAATCTGGTCCTATGTGCCTTGCTTTACCAAATACCTGACTTTTCTGGAGGATATTACTGTAATTCACTACTTTGGACACATGGGGAAATTGACGTTTTACGAATAATATAATTCAATTTTTTGGATGTTTCAACATTTGCTCTTTAAATCCATTATCTAACAGAATATTAAAATAGGTATATTATATAAACATTAGTAAACAGTACTTATTTAAATAAATTATGCGCCATTGCTCCATCATTGAGCTTTTGAAACTTCAACAAATGTATATAGCTGTCATTTGGTTGTTTTATTTCTTATTATGAGATATAATTTACTGTGATTTTTAAAATATTTTTTTAATGATTTGAATTCTGAATTTGTTTATATGTCTATGTATTTCATTTGTTTAGAAAGATTCCTTTGAGTTTGGGAATGTGATTTGTATATTTAAATTTTTTATGGACATAATTTAGAGGAATGTATAAATTCTTCTTTTGTTAAATGGCTTTTTAATGGATCAATTTCTCTTTGTCATTTTTTGGTATCCAGTTATCTATTGAGTAGATTAATGAAAAAGATTTTCGTAATTAACCATATAAATTTCTTCCTATATTTCCTTGTTTCCCTTTTCATCCGTGTTTGACTTAACTGAATTAGACTCCTTACTGTACATCTGAATGACTCCCTGATCCTTTCCATATCTCTCTAGTTACCTTTATCATGTGTGATCTTCCTTCCTTTTTTCTAGCTTATGCTCTAGCATGGAAGACTGGGTTTTACTTAAACTAGTTAGAACCGCTCTATCTGTGTGATAATAGCCTAATTTTTTTGTTCTTGTTTTAAATAAATTATCTCTTTGCTAGCCTCAAGGTTAAGTAATTACAGTAATTGGTATATTTTCTTCATAAATCGTTGAATATAATTGCTTCTATTGTGACTATCAATTCAGTGCATAGAAATCAAATGATAAGCAATATAAAGGATTTCATTTCCACCTCTATTAGTGAAATAACCTTGTACAAAATGCTTTGTTTTAAAAGATCACTAAAGAGTATCAGCATTTTATTTATTTATTTAAGAATATCAGCATTTTAAAAATGGATACTTTGGTTTCTTCTTGTGAAAAGAATTAACTGAAAATCTTTACATCTTTTCGGAATTGGAATACTTCTTTTGTTGGAAGTATGTCACAATCCTTGAATCTCAGTGCTATGCAAATACACCTCATAATTAAAATCTTATAATTACTACCATTCAACAGAGTCAGATAGTGACCAGCATTAGTAAATGGTCTTTCTTACGGTTCTTAAAAGTTTTGAATTCCTTCAAAGCAGGATTGATTATTACATACGTGTTCCAGAAAAAAAAATAGCAAAGAGGAAATAACTTGCCTTCAAACGCCAAAGATATGAAACTCTATAGTAGAGAGTGTCTTGGTGACTGCAAGTTCATGGGTTTCCCAAATTTACCTTCAGGTTCAATAATTCACTAGAAAGACAGAACTTACTGAAAGCTATTACACTCACAATCACATTTATTACCAAGAAAGGATGCAAATTTGAACCACCCGAAGGAGAGGCATATAGGGTAGAATCTAGGAGGGGTTCATATTCCAGTTGTCCTTTCCGGTTGTCTACTCCCTGTGGGGTCCTGGACAGTGTTACTTATTCCTGGCCACAGTATACACACAATATTGCCAATCAGGAAAGCTCACTCATGCTTTGGTGTCCAACTTCTTATTGAAGCTTTATTATTTGGCATGATTGATTCTTTGCCCGCAGGGTTGAACTCTCCAGCCCTGGCCCTCCCTGGAAAACTGGTTGACATCAAGTTACAGGGGTTCATCCTGAGTCAGCTTGTTAGCATAAATTATCAGGTATGAGGTCCTAAAGATGTAGGCCAGAACTTTCTTTGGGTAAAGCCAAATTCCTTATTACACAGTGACCATTTGTGTCTATACACATTCTTCTGAATTGATGAGGATGACACAAGCAATGACTTTTACACTTTATGATTTTAATTTCAGAAGTGTTGTCAAATGATTCTGAACATATGACTTGAGGGTAGAAAAACGTTTATAATCAGATGCAGTGCTAAGTAGCACATACAGTATTCATTTAGTTTTCAGTTCTGATGTTAAATGACTTTATGAATGCTGAACTATTTTTTAAGAACAATAAATTATACTGTATATTAATATACAATTTGAGCTTATTTCTTATTTTATATTTTGCCATTTGAAAATTACAACATGAATGTCTCTCTGGAGGGACTTCTTGCTTTAACTGATACTTATTTTTTTAAAAGTCTGTTACATGGTAATACAGTATTTTATTCTGTCCATTAATAACTAATATTTGAGAACATTTATATATTAATAGAATTTAGAAGAAGTTCAACTTGCTTTTTTTGACATTCCAATACTGGGTATAAATAAGAGATAGTCAAAATAGTTATGGTCAAAATTATTAACGTCAAAAACATAATAAATGCTTGGTTTTAGTCTATATAGAATTCAGTTTTCGGCATAAAGTTCTTTGGCTGTAAGAAAGAACATTTGGTTTACTTCACTAATAGGAGTATCTCTTAATGCTGGTATGGCCTTTTCTTAGTATGTCTTCTGCTCTTGATTTTTAGCATAGTTATCTATGATTGTATGGATGGAGTTGAATGAAGTGCTCATCTTGTTTATTCCAAATAAGGGTACATAACCAGTTACTATGGTAATGACAAGGTAGGTGGGCAGTGCGACCGCCCAATATTTTTGAGACCAATAGGTTAAGCCTAAGGAATTTAGCGAAGATTCAGGAATAAAAGCCCACAAGATATATACTATGAAGCCAAAATGAGAGCTTAAGTAAAGAACAAGCCATAAATCACTCTCTGGCAGTGGTGATGATGAATCTTCCACCATTTTCCCTGTACCTTTAGATAATCTTGGGTCCTTCAGGCACACTCAGGCCCCTCCTGGCAGTTCAGCCACTTCAGCACCAAGTCAATTTTAAGCTAATTTTAAATTACCATTAATCATCACTATTATAAGAAAAAGTTAACAATAAAACTGATTGATACCAGTTGTTCCTTTGGCTGACAGTAGGGCTTCACTGTTAATTGATAGGTCCACATTTCTAGTAATCCTTTGCTAGGGTTAAGCATCAGCCCTCCATTGGATCTAACCAAGTTTTCATTTATGAGTTCATTTACATTTATTCGCTTAGGATTTCTAATATATAAAAATAACTTCTTTAAAACAAATAACATATTATTCCTTTGGAAATAGTTTATCAGAGAAATACACTTTCATCCTTTTTTTAAGTAGACCTCACTGAAGATTTAAAAGAACAATGGACATTGTTAATAGTGTTTGGGAGAAATCATCTGAAAATACTGTCTTGTTAAAATGTGCTTGAAATGTAAAGTATTTAAGGGGTTTAAATTTGCTAAATTAGACTTCTGTATTTTTAACAAAATCTGTGAATGTGCTTGTTTTTATGTGTTTGTTCTCTTAAAAGACACTGCATGTAAAAAACATGATTTCTAATAAT